CACTACTCTGATAAATAAGCCACGGTGACTCTCGGTAGAGATGAAAGGCGGCCCGTATGTGGTCTTTCTGCGGCATCAGCCTCGGCAGTTTAGGTGATGGCTACATTTTCTTGAGTTGTTTGATCAAAGTTGCAGCGATCAGAGCAAGCTCAGAAAAATGGTACTTCGGAAATAATAAGCAAACCCATGGTGCTTCGCATTGTCATTGCTGGTGGGCGAAGGTATAGACCACTCCTTGATAGCTGGAATTTTTGTCGGATCTGGCTCAATTCCTGATAGCGAATCATGAAAGTGTACAAAAACAGTCCTTCTCATGATTAAAAAGCAGTTTATTTTTTGTATGCCATTGCTCGTCCCACAACAGCTGGAGCGTACGCCGCACGTACTTGACGGACTCCTGAACGCTTCCGCCGGATACAAAGACGCCTCGCACAAAGACAACCATGCACCCCTCCCAGGTAAGCTCATGAACAAATCCGATAAAGTTGCTGCCGCCGTTCAGCTAGGGTATTAATAAGCTCAAACAACGCGCAAGTATATTCAAATTTGAAAAATTTGGGAATGTAAGTATGCAACGCCGCCCCCCATAAGCGAAAATGTGGATTTGTAAATAGGTGCCTGTGAATTCAATTGTCAAGAAGGCTGCTGACCCGCGCCTTGTGTAAAGCGATTCGCCGACATGAGCATTGGAACCTGCTGCTGTACGGTCGCCTTGTTCAGGGGTTTAACGTTTACGCACATGCGCCACCCTGCACTTTTTGGGTACCAACAGCAAGTTTCACTGCAGAGTGCTGGCTGATTCGTGCCTGATATAAGAATCATCTCTGTGCGGCTTAACGTCATCTGCATGCTTGGGAGGTTATCATAGCGCGGAACGCAGCCTGGGGCTGGCCTGGCGATTAGTGCAATAGGGTCGTCTGGATAGCCAGCAGGTTGTCAGCCTAATCTCCGCAGGCTGACCACTTCACTTGCATAAATACAGCCATTACTGCAGTGCTTCGCGTTTTGAAAAACATACCGTATGCTGGCAGCTCGGCATCATGCAGCACATCCGCGAACTTCTTACGCTGTACCCATTCTTGCTGCTTCCCGGTGGAGACTTGCATTTTGTATTTCCTGTAATGTGGCCAGTCTCAGGTTTACTAAGGCAGGATGCACTCTCAGAATCGTCTTCGCTTAGCTGCTGATTAGCCCACATGACAATCTGTCTCGTTTGGTCGAGCACGGACTAAACTCGCACAGCATAGATGGGATAAACCTTGATGAGGAGACGACAAGCTTCTTCTTTATGGGTATGCGCGGCTCACTATCCTCTGCAGCGTGCAGCTGTGGCCTTATGAACATCTTCCATTGGGGCACCTAAAGTGTACTTCAGATTACATCGTGCTGCACGCCTCCAACGTGAAGGTGGCGGATCATGCTGATAATGCATAATTACATACTAAAGTAGCATACAACATTATTCTTACTGCCAATACTTGCATCACCCCCCCGTCAGCAAGGCTAAAGTTTTACAGGCTAACCAGCACCTAATCACTTTTTGCTGCAGTATTTATCCTAGAGTAAGGTATAGCGTACATTAATTTTAAGTCTGTTAATGTATCCTTATTGCAGATTACTGCCAAAGCGGTGTAATAATCAGTAGTGGTACGTGCCTGTGCATTAAAATCGGGTAAGTAGCTGTAAAGGCTGGAATTGCACAAAGGGAGCAATACCCAGCCCAACTGCCTCCTTTCCCTCATCTTGGGAGCTTCCATACAACAAACACAGGTGATGCTGGGAGATCTTGCATAAAAAGCTCAATAAGTTTGTACTAAGCTTGTACGGAGGCTGGCGTAAGGGGTATCCTTACAGATATCTTTGAGAGAGCGTTATATTTGGTAGCACTGCATAGACTGATAATGCAATTGCTTGCTTATCTACTCATTTCGAATGCAGTGGGGTGGCAGAATTTCATGTAGCACTTGTATGGTTTTGCCAAAATAATTTGGTGCCTTAATTTCTGGCCTCTTTAAGACTTTGTGGCTCCTGAAGAGATTTGGACTGACATCACAAATTGATTGTCGAAATGCCGGAGGTCATTCTAAGTCGTTTTGCAGACTGAGCTGACACGCCCATTCGATGCCGTGCTCCAGCTGTGTCACGGCTCCAGAAGTCGTTCAATAGTTTTTAGTCAATGTCCGAAGCTTCATAGATCCCCAAAAATATCATCAGCGAAGAAGGTGCAATGTAAGGTAGTGCGTTCTAGCTTACCTGTGTGACGCTCCTACACATTAGCCATAGTGCGACCACTGCGAATTACCCTGTAGAAGATGGACAGAGGAAGCGCAACAACCGCACTCTTCTGCATCCTTTGTGACTTGTAGTCCAAAAAATCATATTGCTTGGAGTTACCTCCTTCGTTGTGCTGAGAGGGTTCATAGGGCAACAGTACACTCGTTAATTCGTTGGTCTCCCGCGTCCCCGGTTTACGCTGAGGAACCATTCTTTAATCCAATTCTGGACCTGGTGGTCCGGGGTCAGAATACACCCTTAGCAGTAGAAATTCTAGAAGAAAACTGGCTGTTGCACGCAAATGTAGGTGCCTAGCCCAACAGATGCAAGCAACGCTAACCAGCGGTGGACTGCGTGTGTCCAGCCCACTACTTTGGTGCCGGTGAATCGACAGAATCACCACGCTCCACGAGCAGGAGACAAGACAAAGAAGCTCGCGGTCAGATTGCTAGGGCCATTTGCCATTGTCACACAAATCTGTGCTCATTCTTACTCCATCGATCTGACCGGAGTTTGGAGGTGCCACAGAACTATCAGTACTGGATCTCCAAAGAAGTTCCAAAACTCCACGAGTCATTCGCTACCATTGCCGCGCAGGCATGTTACTCGAATGGAGGTGAAGCACCCACAAGGAGGCGAATAGGTGCTGTGTGTAGGAATTTTGAGCGCCGTAAAAACAGTAGACGGGATTCTCTAGTGAAATGTGGTGGGGAGAGCCAAGTGTAGTGGTTGGCAAGGGAGCAGTCGCAGTATTTGTTGCCGGAGCAAAACCTTTCGGTTTAATGCACAAATCTAGCCGTCATCGACGGCTTTTCTTGCCGTTTTTGAGTAGCGTCATTCCCGAGCGCACACCCTGCCCAAATAAGCTAACTTCCTTCATAAGCATGATAGTTAATTGGCTATGATTGTTAGAGTATTCCCTACCCGTTAGTTCATTCAATGGCACTCGTAAATACTTTACCTGCATTCTCTCTGATACCTTTTTCGGGGCCTCTAAATCGACTTTGCAGCGTGTAGCGCCTGTATTCGCATGTAGAGATTGTTCTGCAAGGCACGGAGGCACTGTTAACCTGGTGTTTGAATTCCCTTTACAAGTTTTACATAGTCCGTGTTTCTCAGCAGGTGGCTCGCATGTTTCAGCGCTCCGACAACAGCGAGCCAACGCGCCGATGCGTTCGTGCTGGTTTGACCCTTTGTGGGTTTGGTTTAGTATTTGGCTTTTTGCCTATCTACTTAACTTTTCCTGCTGATGCCCGCTTTGGCCTATTCGCTAGCAGCGTTTTACCGGTTTCTCCGTCCCTAGGGAAAGGAAATAAGGCGGCTCTTCTGCCGCTGTGCTGCTGGCAGTTCGTCTAAACAAAGACGTATGCAACCTTAGCACGTATTTGTTGAGTAGGAAGGAAATATACAGCAGGCTAAGCTGTACTTGAAAATTTTCTCCCACCTAACTTGTATTACCTAAGAACTAGTAAAGATCTGACTAGTGGTGTGCCTGTTTGCATAGCCTGTTAATGCAGAGCTCTGCTGGCTTGATATAGCAATACAAAATTCCATGTTTTGGTGGGCTAGATGATATGTGCATTTAGCAGAGAACGCCGTGAGGGTGCCCACGCGCACCGTAGCTGTCCCTCTCCCCGCGCCTTGGGACCTAAAGGGGCACAGGAAAGTGGATGAGAGAGTTTATCTCTAAAAAAACTCAATACTTTTGATTAACTCCGTACTGATATTGGAGCTCGGTGTCTCCTTGGGCGACCTTTGATGGGGTTTCAGCTACACTTACTGCACAGGCCTACAGAGTACGAAGTTGTTGTATGAATGTGTCCCTGCACTGTTACCGATATAATTTAGGTGATGCTTAGCCAAAGGTCAACCAGAGAAAACAAGTGGATTATGATCTGGCCAAGTGCTGCATGGCCCACCACGTGTATCTTCTAGCGGACAGACGAACCACAGCAGGCGGTAGAACAACCCTACTGTGTCGACCATTGACACCGATCCGCGTAGATTTTTTAGTGTTAGTAATACAGTGATATGCAGGTTTTCCTTGCCCTAGCGGGATCCTGCCGACCCTGGAAGCGTCGCTAGCTCGATCTACGAGGGCTAAGCTACCAATGTTTCATATATTTGCTCATATGCTTTTTAAATATTGCGCCTAATGAGTCAAATCAGGTCTTTCAGGGAGAGTAAATCGGACTTGACTCTGTGCCTTGTGCCTTTGGACGATGGTGCTGCATGTGTTTGGCCGCGCCTACGTACAGATTTCTCCCTGGCACAGTACAGACTCGCGGAACGTATTATTTACTGCTGGGAAATTCCTCGTTTCGCTTGATCAGATGGGATGACTTCTATGAGTCCATAAGATGCTCCGCTTTGTGGCTCAGTCTTTCCCACAGAGTGGATAACTTCTCTGCCCCTGGTGATTGTGCTGGAATCAGGGCAGGCGGGCACTTGTAGGCGCTGCTCGGCATGCCATTTGCACGTCGTCCAGTATATTGTGAGTGAAACACCTTATTAGATTTCTGTATTCACGATGATGCAATAATACAACCAGGAATCGCTAATCGCCGGCAAGAGCCGGCAGCAAGGGCCAACGCAAGATTTCGGCTGTTTTTATGCAAATCATCCACTGAAGGGCGATTTTCGCTCACTGTTGCAGTGTTTTAAGAGTGTCAATCTTGATTTTTGATAAGTTGGTGGTTGCTGGCCTTCGGCTAGCATTAGTTGACATGGGGACCGGTTCTCAGGATCAAAGTATCAACTGGGGTTACCTGCCTTATGCAAAGAAACTATCTGCAGAAGCTCCTTCCTGCCAAATGGAACTACAAACCGCACTTTCCAATCGCGAACTGAGTATTCACAGATTTCAGGGTGCCACGAACACACGTTTCTCGGTGCCAGGGAGGCGATCCAGGACATCTCAATGCATGGCATCGTGCCCGTTGGTTGTCGGTACCACATTAGCTGGTCAGGACATTAGACGGCCATGTGTTTCAAGCAAAGGACTTGAAGATGCAGAAGCTCAAGAGAGCCCTGGGCGGTCCGTGGACCTTCAACATCCGGCGTACAGGCGCACTTTTAATACCATACCGTTTCATTGGGCAGTCAATGGCAGCTCCGCTGCTGAGGACGAGCCCCGAAGTCGTTCGGGGAAAAGTGATCTGGAAAGTATGGCAGAAGTTATTACAGATGAGCAAAAGGATGATCGCTTTAAGGCCGCTTCCCGTGCGGCAACTCGTGCGGCCTTCGCTAGAAAACAGCGCAGGTTTTGTTGCAGTACAGCATGCTGCCAAGATGCTGTGAAGGTACGGCGGCTATCAAAGAGTACTGATGTGGCTGGCTGTGAGACAGTGCGTACCTCTAGGTGCCAGGTGCTCAATTAGGTTCAACGAAGCAGCCACGCGCATCGGTTGGTACTGCAACACTGAAAATCCACCTTCGTGGGCCTGTAGAAAGTAAGAGGGGAGATCAATCCGTTGACTTATCCCTGGTTTCATGCTCTCAGGTGTTGGCTCGCGACGTGTGGGCTCGCGAAACTGCTTTTATCCTGAAGGAAGAGGCTGACTCAAGAAAGAGAGATTTATCCAGTATGCCCTACCTCTTTTAGACCAACACGCCACCTCATTCGCTCTTGTGGCTCGATGAGCTCTGAAAGAGCGTTGAGGTTGTTTCTTGCAAAGGAATAACTTTTTGAAAGCTTTCATAACTGAAGCTAGGGCAAGCAGCTAACTGTTAATGGGAGCAGATCGTATCGCACTACAGCATCGTGGTCCTGTTTGTCGTATACTGCTTCAGGCCGAGTGGAAGCAGATGTGTCAACCCCAAAAGCATCACATGTCATCTTGGCTGCTCAGCATAAGGGGTCGCGAGATAGCCTCACACTCTGCCCGCTGCGATTTACAGATCGATCAATGGAAGCAGAATTTGCATACAACCAAGAACGATCCGCTCGTTTTCGCAACGTTATGGCGGGTGCTACGGCTGCGACTCTCGTTGCGATCGACGTGGTACTTGCTGCAGTATTGTGGAATACAGGAATGTTCATGCATGACCCCGTGATCTTTGCCTCTTTTATGGTGTTCTTTTTACTCTGCACTTTTTTGTCTATAATGTACGCGATGTCATATCGTATTCCGTATCTCCGGAATTACCTGGAGTTTGCATCATACTTCATAGTAACATCTGCTGTAATCGCGCAGACTATTCTAGGGATCTGGTGGAAAACTGCGCTGTATAGCAAAGAGAACTATCTAAGGTTTGCTCCCTCCGTTAGCAAAAGTTTTGGCCTGGAGTATGATCCTGCTATTCCGGGTGATCGGATGAATTCCGTGGCTTACCATTTCGTCGTGCTTCTCAACGAGCTCTTCTTGGGTATCCTCTTCCAATCTACGTTGCTGCTCACATACATTCTCTTCGATGTTCTTACGCCAACCCGCTTCTTTATTGCATCAATACTACAGATTGTTAACACACTACTTGGAATAGTACCTTTTATTTTTGGCGCCATACAGATTCCGGAAACTTCCCTACCAAAGTAGGCTCCATCTTGCGAAAAAGTGCTTACGCTATTTGTGCCTGCACACACTTCGCAAGGTAGAACTTCTCGCGCTTATGTGGGCCGTGTTGTTTCACCCGTGGAAGAACGAACGAGGGTCAATAATTGTCGTTGCAAGCAGGGGATCATTCTTCGTCAGCTTGTAATCCTCGCTCAGTGGTTGTCAATAGGTAGCTTAGAGTGTTTTCAAGGAAATACTTGATTCATGCTTGTCTTACATACGCAGCATGGCATCGGTAGTGGGCATACTTTCGATTGCGGCTTCGGGGTTTGTGGGTTCATACCCCATGGAATTGCGGAGGCGAGGTCTTTTCTACGAATGGCTAGTAAGACATTTTCCTGGTCTGGAAACCCACCTAGTTATCTGTTAGCAAAAATACATAAGCTGTGTCGAACTCCCGAATTCTACTGAGGTATGTAGCAAACTGTGGCTGTGCTGGCATATGTATCTGCTTCAGTCAATGAAGCGTGCTGTTGCCAACCTACTGGATATTCGAAAGAGGGCGCAGAAGGCGGCGGGAAGCAGCAGTGCCCTTGACGATATTCGCTCCAACTGCACGAGGGTAAGCTGATCTCCTTGCCCTCGCTTTCTTTATGAGGGCAGTAAGGTTATACTATGGCTCCAGCGTCCGGTCCGGGGTGTTCTGCCATTGTGCCCTTCGCGTATCTCGGGGTTGCAAGGCCACAGCACTTTCGTCACTGATTGATGCTTCCTGGTGCAGCTTTCAGAAATTTTGGCAGACTTGAAACAGGGAGCTGGCAAATTTGACGTGGCAGCAGCCGTGTCTCAAGGGCTGACTCTGATACAAGAATGCTTATTCATCTTTGCAACTTGCAAGAACCTTTACATTACCAGCATTAATGAAGACCTGAAGGATGAAGTGAGTGGCCATGAGTTAGAAGCTATTGTTCGGAAATTTGTGCTCCCTCCTACGTAATAAGCGTCTGATGACCTCCAGTTTTGGAGGTCTGCCGCCTAGTACGGTATGTTGGAAGCAAATGTACAGACTCATTTGCTGACCTATGGAATTTCTGCGCCCCACTGTTCAGAGCTATATCAAAGCATTCAACCTGGGAAGGACTCAGACCCGGAACTTACTGAATGCCGACAGCGCTATTTCTAGCACGATTGGGAGGCAAAGCCGTTTGGGACCAGGCGGGGAGAAACTGGCTCCAGGTTCGGTAGTATAGAAGGCGCTACTGATCCATATGCGTATGCGTTGAATTTTTTGTTTATTAGATAGTTAATTGTGTACTGCAGTTTTGATTTTAGCAGTCACTACATGTTTGTCGTGTTGCAGTACCTTCTGACCTTCAATCACGCGCTGGGATGTTTCCACCCCCTGCATGTGATTTGGAGGCACGACATGTAAGTTTTGCAGCGTCCTGCAACTATCCAGCGTGCCATTCTTTCTTGTGGAAGGTTGCGCGGCCTTTTGTCGGAACGTAATGGGTACCTGCGGTTTCTACAAGGGCGGCAGGAACACGATGTGACACGATTTATCCGTTCTCGACTGCAGGGCCTATCGAGTCGTGTAGAAGGAATAAAGAATGAGGCTGAAGGCCTTCTGGCGTGCTAGTTTGTTCTCGCAGGCGGCATTGTTGCTTCCAATTGTAGGACTGGACTTGGGTTTCGACCCCCTAGAGGTATAATGCGCCGCCCTGGTAGTTTTGCACCTAAAGTGCAAGCGTTTACACAAACCGTTAAGGCGTGCTGCATTGTCTTGTTGCGTCCTGCCAATAAGTGATTTTATACCAACTCTTGTCGGCTATGACAGTCACATGTATTACACATTGGAAGAGTGCATGTACCAGTTGGCATGGCCTCGCTTTAATTACCATGCAAGACTTCACTTACGGTTGCTCGTATCCAACGAAAAAAGATAAGGAATGTGCTGGCTCATCCTGCCGGTGGGTGACAAAACCCGTATGAGAGTTTTATCCGAGGAATTAGTGCCGCACTTTGTGCATGGGTGAGCAGTTCGAGCGCGCCCACGCAAATGGAAGGTCGAGCGTTTTGCTGGACGCGGGGACCGCGCTTCTTGGACGTGTTGCATCGGACTGGGGCTGCGACGAACTGGTGCTCCGCAATTTCCTGGTGCAAATTGATAGTTTGTACCAAAATCAGCCTTACCACAACGCCAAACACGGAACTTTGGTAAGTGTTTTTTGCGTGTTCTCTTAACGTGTTTGAAAATTTCTTCTCTTGATACTTTCTAGACGCAACATACTGTTGTTAGTGCTGCCTCGGTGTATCGCGAAACCTAACCTCAGCTAAGCAGTAGAGCAGGATTCTAACTTCTAGGATCAGCAAGAAGCTGCATGTGCGACACGCTCACAGTCCATTGATCCGGAGTAGCAGCATGCCGAACTGCTTCAGTTATTGCTGTTTTTTTGCTCAGGTGGCCCATAGCATGAGTCTCCTGTGCAGAACTCTTGGGATATTTAGAGAGTCAGCTCAGGCACTAAACACGATTACACTTTATCGGTGATGGCATGTCTTTCCGGTCGGCTAGCATTCTGCAGAAATGGCCAAGCGGCATGGGATCTTATTTAAGAAACTTGCATTTTCCTTGATTGTTAACATTAGCAGTGGCCCATGAAAGCCGCTTTGAACGACTGTTGGAAAGAAGATTTTAGTTGCCTACTTCTTTCCACATTTGAGGATGAGTTTCTCTCAGGATGAACGCCCTCGGTGTTGGTGCTTGTCTTGTCGCGGCTTTATGTCATGATGTCGGGCAC